TCTATTTTATTTTGTTTAAAATTTTATTTAGAATTTTATTTAGTATGAATTTATATATTCATTTTATTTCATTTCATTTTATGCATTTGGGGGAAAAAAGCTCAGTGAATTTTATTTGTATTGTCAAAACTAATTTAACTTTTTTTTTTTTTTTTTGTCTGAGAGAACATTATAAATCCAAATGCTGTGGTGGAGTAATATCATTAAATTGAGCTGATTTTGTTTTTTATTTTTATAAATATATTATACTTGGTTTTACTTTGTTATTCTTTTCTTCAGTTTTAGCCTGCTGTCAGAGAGCCTCATTAATCTGAGTAGTTAGACATAATATCCTTAAGTTCAGTGAATCTCTTCTTTGTGTGAGGAATTGTCCTGTGCACATTAATGTGCTGGAAATGAGCGCTCTTGCTGAGCGTTGCGTCATGAGACCTGCCAAATGCCTGTTATTATGAAGCACTCTTTGAATACATAAAACAAAAGAAGAAGATTTACAGACTGTGGCTAAAACTTTATTAAGGATGATCAAGAAGAGTTTTCCTCGAGCCAGTGTTATGAAGAGAACAGCCTGATTTTAACATTATTCCAAGGGATTTTCTACTAGACATCTCTTCATTAGAAAGAGGCAACAGTTTAAAGGTGCTATATGTAAAGTTTTGACTCTTCTAAAGCATAATGATGCCATGATATGTTTGCAGATATTTAAGAAACATGCTAAGTGAACATACTTGACAATCTAAAAACAAAACTAAAGTTATTCTCTTTTAAAATTTGTGAAATGTTTTCGTGCCAGAATGTCTGTCTTTGTTTTGTTCTCTACAACCAGCCTACTACCAGTTTATATAATCATGTTACAGCACTCTGGGTTGCCTTGGTAGAAAACACACAAAATTTAACACAACAGAAACATTTAAATACCAGTAGTGAAAAATAGTGCACTGCTCTCCAATAAAATGTTTTTTTAATCTAATATTAAATATCTTTAACATTATTAAAAGTACACCCTGAGTTATTTGTTGGTTTAGTATGTGCTCTATTTTAACGTTCTAGACACAAAGTCTAAAGTGCATGGCGCAAAAGCATTAGGGGCATGTCCGAATCCACTTATGCTATTTTAAGGACGGGAAAAATACATTCTGTGCAGGGTTCTTGGTCTTCCAGGGTTGTGCTTATTCTCTTAATGAGTTATGGGGGTGTTTTGAGCATAACATGCATTAAACCAATCAGAGTCTTACCATACCATTTGCTATTTACATGGCAGACTTTACAAGTGGAAAAACTGAACGCTTCATTAACGAGAAAACAGTTAAAGACCATCTGTGCAAGGATAAAGAATGAGCCTCCTCCATTTGTCCTCTTTACTTTCTCTTTACTTTTACTCTTTACACAACTCCTTTACTTTTGTGGATAAGGAAACAGCGCTGTACTCACTCCACTAAAAACATCCATTAGCCTACATATTAAAGTTTGTTTGTTAAGTGCAAAGATTTGTTCCAAAACTATTTCTAAAAGTTTGTTTAAACTTACTTAAGTTATATCCAAACACTTTTGATTCTTCTGACCCATATTCTGATGCATACATCTCTAAAGCCCGACAGGTGGACAAATCTAAACTTGTTTTTATTAAACAATTACACATATGCATATAAAAAATGATACAACTAATAATAATAGCATTATACAAATGCAAATTGTCATGAATGAACTGGAAAAAAAAAAAAAACACATATACACAAACACACACACACACACATAGGCACATAACTAATGCGCTCTGCATTTGACTTTAGACCTTCATTTAGTTGGTCAATGGCACAATCTATTTCAGTTCCTCAAAATAGCAACACCCCAACAATGCACCTTTACACACCTCCCTTTCAGACTAGCATGACCATGAGGTCACAAAGTAGCGCAAATGGATTTGCTATTTAAACAACGTGACGCAAAATGTGAAAATTGTAGTTGCGCAGGTTTGAAAATAGCAACAAATAGAGCCATGCATGTCTTGCGCCGGGTGTAAATCAAAAGCGCAAAATAGTGCACTGCTCTCCATTGAAATGGTAAGGTTTTTAATCTAATTAATGCATATTAAATGTCTTTAACATTATAAAAAGTTCACACTTATTTATATAGACACTTATTTATATAGAGTTATTTGTTGATTTAGTAACACTCGTTCAAACTATATGTTGAGTAGTTATTTAATTTTAAAGATCTGAGGTAAACTGCCTGTTGCTGCTTTCAGTACAGAAATAAATGTCACGCAAAATAATATTTAAACTTACATTAGTGGCATTTAGCAGTGAATAAAGCACATAATTAGTATGTGAGGTGATCATTGGTATAGTAGTTCATGCTGTAGTTCTGCCGCAGTGGTTCTGTGTCGTCAATCTGGCAACCTGCGTTTTATGGAGTCATCTAACATGAGCTGCAGGATTGCCAGACTAGAGCTCATTAATATTCATGACTTTACCAAATATGGTATATAAAAATACATCCATGTCATATTAGGGCTACTTTATAGCATCAAAAATAGACATGTAAATCCGTTTCTGGAGATTTATTTTTTTTTTTATTTGCTTTCTTCTTTTTTTTGCACTTACCTAAGCCACATACCTTCTATTTAGATATCAGAGAACAGAGAATGTTTTCCCAGCTCTAGGGGTTTACGAGTTTTTGTTTTCTCAGTGCTGGGTTGCAACTGGAAGGGCAACCGCCACGTAAAACATATCCATAATGTAAAATTTATTGAGTAATTGTTGGTTCATTCCACTGTGATGACACCGTGATAGATCTGTGACTAAGCTAAAAGAAAGAACAGAGTATTAATTCTATGACACAATGAACTAAATGTAAATCTGTTTGTTATTTATTCATTCATTCATTCATTTTCCTTCCGTTTAGTCCCTTTATTAATCAGGGGTCACACAGTGGAATGAACCACCAACTTATCCAGCATGTTTTACGCAGCGGATGCCCTTCCAACTGCAACAATTCACCTATAGCTTATGTCTTTTGGCTTGTGGGGGAAACCAGAGCACCCGAGAAAACCCACGCCAACACGGGAGAACATGGAATCTCCACACAGAAATGCCAGCTGACCCCACTGGGACTTGAACTAGTAACCTTGCTGGGAGGCGACAGCGACACCCTTCTGTTTAGTTATAAACATAACAATTATAGCATTATATACTATCAAATTACATTACAAACAACTTTTCGCAAAAAAAATTATTACACAGAGAATCAAATCATTCTTTTGAATGAATCATCTGAATGAGATGAACAACAAAAACAAATGAATAGTCTGAATGAACTGATTCCAAGTGTTTTCGGTCATGCAGCATCATTCTGGCTTAATCTGCATGCAGCTGTCTAATCAACGAAAAATTAACATGTTTAATCAGAAGGCTCTGAATTGCCCTTGAAGGAACCCTTGGGTTGTTTCTGCCATCGGGATGTCAGGAAAGGCCGTCTGACCTTGTGAAAACTGTGGCGTTTGAATTCATTAGCTTGGTGTGCTTTTTTGTTTGGATTTGATGGCGTTTCTCTTTAGTCTTCAGTCTGCTGCTTGTTGCTTTATGATCCGTCTTTCTTCTGTTCTTATCATTAGACTTTCAAATGACTCAGCTCGATCTGATTTTGTTTCATATTCAGAGGCTCCTTTTGTTTCGCCTTTCTTTTTCTGTGCTGCTGTTTCCACTCATTAAGCGCACAATGGGACGAAAGAGGCTTGTTTATTTGGTTCTTTGCACAATCGAGGTTGTGGCCTGTTGTGAGCAGCGTTTTGCTTCTGTAATAGTAGTGCACAATCAATTGAGCTGTTAAAACTGTGCACACTTAAAAAAATGATTTAATAAATAGTAACTTAATTTACAAAGTTAATCACGGTACAACTTATGTTTTTGAGCTAAACAAATTTTAAAGTCAGCTTAATTGTTGCAAGTTAAAATGACTTAAATTGGTTTGGTTAAAAAATAATTATTTATTAGTTGGTATTAATTATTTATTAATTTATTAATATGATTTATTAGTTATTTTATTTATTCATTCATTAATTTTCTTTTCGACTTAGTCCCTTTATTATTCTGCAGTCGCCACAGCGGAATGAACCCGCAACTTATCCAGCATATGTTTTAGGCAGCGAATGCCCAGCTGCAACCCAATGATGGAAAACACACATACACACTCATTCACACACATACACTACGTCAATATTAGCATGTCTTTGGGCTGTGGGGGAAATCAGAGGAAACCCACGCGAACATGGGGAGAATATGCAAACTCCATACAGAAACGCCAACTGACCCAGCCGAGACTCAAACCAGCGACCTTCTTGCTGTGAGGAGATCATGCTACCCACAGCGCCATTGCGTCACCTTCTTATATTTATATATTTATTTATTAAAATAATTTATTAAATTTAATTATTTCTCCACTGTTTATCCATGTCTTACAGTTGATGTACAGTCTGGCTTTAAATTCATGTGGGTGATTTATCAGCCGATATTAACATGTGCAAGCATTTTCTGCATGTTTGCATACAACTATCACTTTAAGTGTATTGAAATGAAAGCAACGAAACAATGTCAAACTTTGGGATTTTTGGATTCACGGTCTCTTTAAGTGAGATTTTTTTTCTCAGAAATAATGTGTGTGTGCATGTCCATGTGTGTGTAGAGCTGTAATGATGGCCTGCAGGAAAACTGATGCAAATGTCCGCCACAATCTGCTCCTATTGATTACCCTGTTTTTTAACAGTTCTCGCCCTCATTTTCTTCTTCTATTTCTCTCAGTATTTTCCTTTCACCATGCCACAGAACAAGCTCTCTTTGCAGTCCGGTTTTTAGACGTCTGATTACACTCTGCAGATTTGCAGATTTTTTGTAATGGCGCCCTGGTTGATTATAGTAGTGCTCTCCGACATTGTTGTTTTGCACCCGTGTACCATAATCTCTCACTCTGTAAGGTCGCACTGATGTGGTTTTGTGTATTTTTAACAGGATTTCGGAGATGATGGATCACTGTACATTACCAAGGTGACCACTACACATATGGGCAACTACACCTGCCATGCTGACGGATACGAGCAGCTCTTCCAGACACACACCCTGCAGGTTAATGGTATGTGATGTACTGTACAAGCACTGTCAATTGGATGGATGAATGGATAGGTGGATGGATGGATGACAGACATACAGACAGACAGACAATAAAGTATACATATGCAGTCACGCTATGTTGATTTGACAACATATCATCCTACATGATATATGGCATGTTATATGTTATATTTGCATGTCATAGTAATAGCTAAAATATTCTGTGATCAATGCGGTGGTGTTTTTATACATATTTAACAGACAAATAAATAATAAATAAAATTAATTGAAGGGAAAATAATTATATTAATTGTGGTTTTAATTCTTGCTATGAATAATTAAATATCTATATAAAATTCTATTTAAAAAACAACAATGATAATAGTACTAGTAGTAATAGTAGTGGTATTGGTGGTGGCATTAGTATAATAATAATGATAATAATAATAATAATAATAATAATAATAATAATAATAATAATAATAATAATTATTATTATTATTATTATTATTATTATTATTATTATTATACAATTTTATAGTTAGTTTAAAAATATATATATTTTAAATATTAATGTATGTGCAAATGATATAATGCATACGTAAATAAGGCTAACAATAAATATATAAAAATATTAGATGTACATTTATACATAATGAAATAGCTGTATTATAATTATATAATAAATGTACTATTATTATTATTATTATTATTATTGTTATTATTATTATTATTATTATTATTATTGTTGTTGTTGTTATAAAAATAGGGCAAATGGGTGTTTAAATGGTGGCCAATGGGTGTTAGCATCTTCGTGGCCCTCTGTGTTTACGCAATTGTACTCTTACTGTTTCCTTTGGCGTTTCTCATAGACACATGAAACACGGAGCAATCAAATGGCTCGCAATGATAACATCACATTTTAATTGGATGAAAAACAATTGAACTGGCCTCCAGAGTCGTTGCCTAGCAATTAATGGTGGTCAGAGCTGGAGGAAATAGGGAATTAATTATGGAAACGGCACACATTTCCTTCTTCTGTCTGAGTCACAGGGCCTCCGCTTTCTCTCCTTTACCTAATTATGAGCCCTGATGACCAGGAGCTGCAGAATGTTTTACTTTTATTTATTTATTTACCAATTCACAATTTACCCCCCATTTTTTATTTCATCACATTTCAACTCCAGTTGTACCAAATCTATTTTATTTTATAGAATTTTTAATCATTTTTAAAAAAAATTATTATTATTATTATTATTTTTTTTTTTTTTTTGTTGAATGTTTTAACAACCAAAAATGCACAGGTGAACTATCTCTTCATGTTAAATTGTTTACATTTCTCTATGGCAGACACAGTGCTTTTAATTAACTTCCTGCACTGCACACATAAACATTTTGGCTTTAAATGATTGTCCTTAGCACCTTTTCCGTTTGGAATAATGACAATGTAATGATGTTGTTTTGTTTTGCAGGCAGGGCTTTGCTTTATTGTTGACTTAGGTGAATAAAACAAACAAAAACGAAAAACTTTTATAACCCTCTCTCTGATGTATGTATTTATATTAACGGTGGGAAAAAAACATAAGAGACCATTTCAATTTATATATATATATATATATTTTAGATGTACTGGATGTACAGTTGAAGTCCAAATGATTAGCCCTCTTCTAAAACTTGTATCCTTTTCTAAATATTTCCCAAGTGCTGTTAAACAGACCAAGACAAAGTTCACAGTATTTACTTTAATATTTTTTTCCTCTGGGAAAAGTCTTTTTTTTTTGTAGTTGAAGTCTGGATTAAAAGCATTTTTAAACAATATTGTTAGCCCCCTTAGGATCTTGAATGAAAATTACAAAAATGTTATGCACAGCCATCTTGGCAAAGACAAAACAATTTGGTTTATTATAAATTAGTTATTAAAAATTTCTCTGTGAAGCAACACTTGGGATTTTATTAAAATTTCAAAGCAGGGCTAATAATTTTGACTTTAATGTTACAAGGTAGGTTTTTTTCTATATTTTAATACAAATTGTGTTATGTACAGCACCAGAACATGGCAATTGGGGGGAAACAAATATATTTTATTTGTTGTGATTGAAGAGTTTAGACACACACAAAAAAGCCTTTAAGTACCATCTGAATTTTATTTCTAAAATGAGACTTTTTTTTTTTCTCAAGCTCCTTCGTGTAGGTGCAGTGATTTCACGTTTTGGCCAAATAATAGGTTATTTTCATATCTTTCAAGTAAAATAATTAAACATGAACAAAGCAGGCTTAGAAAAAGGAAATTTCAGACGGCACTTAGAAGTTTTTGAATTGGGACTCTTCAGTTGCAAATTAAGTTTTTTCCATAAGTTACTTTCCTAACTGCTTTGAAGTAGAAACATTAGTAATGTTTTGGCCAAACAGTATTTACAATTTCTATTTATGTGTTTGAGTAAAACTTATTAATGTTCTACAAACTACTGATGGTCTTTCTTAAATATGTAGCATAACAAAGATGTTGTTTAGATCAAAGAATGACAATCAAAATAACAAAAAAAAGAGTCATTTTTATCAATCATGTTTTTATAAATTTTCGTGACAACACCAATGTTTAACTTCAGAAGAGTTAAGAAATCAATATTTTATGGATTATTTATTGAAATTACTTTTATTCAGAAGAAATGTTACCAGGCCTGTGTATAGAATAAAACAAATATTAAAATTTTTAATCAAACAAAACCCTATTATAAATCCAGTAAAACAGAACATTTCTCAGTGCTACCCACTGCGCCACTGCGTCAGCTTTTATCATACCTGTTTATATAAATTCTCACATGACACAATACCAATGTTTCACTTCAGAAGAGTTAAGAAATCAATAGTTGGTGAAATAACTCTGCTTTCAAAAGCAAAAAATAAAATATTTTATTTTAATCAACAGTCAGTTGTCATCTTGGAGAGAAAACGCTGTAAATGAGTTTTTTTTTTATTATTATTATTATTCAGAAGAAATGTTACCAGGCCTGTATATAGAATAAAACTAATACTACATTTTTATGACCTTTTATAAATCTAGTTAGTGCAGTGAAACAGAGCATTTGTCCTACATTTATCAATTTTCTTAAAGGGATAGTTCACCCGAAAATATTTACTCACCCTTAACTTGTTACAAACCAGTTTGAGTTTTTTTATTTATTTATTTATTTTTTCTGTTGAACACAAAACACAAAAGAAAATATTTTGAAAAATATTACAAACCTGTAACCCTTGACTTCCATATCAGGAAAAACAGGTTTCCAACATTCTTCAGAATATCTCCTTTAGTGTTTAACCAACTGAACCAAAAAAAAAAAAAAAAACCTCTAACTGGGTTTGAAGTGTTTTTTTTTAAGGTAAGCAAATATTCACAGATATACTTATTTTTTGGTGAACTACCCCTATATTTTCTATAGATGTACATATGAACATATAAATATACAAATATGAATTGCCCTTCTGTGAATTTTTTAAAATTATGTTTAAGAGAGCAAGGGATTTTTCTCAGTATTTCCTATATTTTTTTTTTCTTCTGGAAAAAAGTTGCATTTGTTTTATTTCTTATTTGTTATAAAAATAAAAGCAGTTTTGATTTTTTAAAACCATTTTAAGGTCAATATTATTAGACCCCTTAAGGCAGGGGTGCCCAAACTTGATTCTTGGGGCCAGTGTCCTGCAAAGTTTAGTTCCAACCCAAATCAGACACACCAGGACTAACTAATCAAGCTCTTAGTCTTTCTAAAAATGTTCTTGCAGGTGTGTCGAGGCAAGTTGGAGCTGAAATCTGCAGAACACCGACCCTCCAGGACCGAGTTTGGGCACCCCTGCCTTAGGGGCTCTAATAATATTGGCCTGAAAATGGTTTTAAAAAATTTAAAACTGCTTTTATTCTAGAACAAATAAGAAATAAAGCAGTTTTTGGAAAGAGTTTGGACATCCCTGCCCTAAGCATTTTTTTTTTCTCGATTGTCTACACTCTACAGAACAAACCATCATTATACAATGATTTGACTAATTACCCTAACTTGCCTAATTAACCTAGTTAAGCCTTTAAATGTCACTTTAAGCTGAAGACTACTATCTTGAAAAATATCTAGTAAGACATTATGTACTGTCATAACGACAAAGATAAAAGAAATCAGTTATTAGAAATGAGTTATTAAAAATACTATGTTTAGAAATGTGTTAAACAGAAATTGAGAGAGAAAAATATACACGGTGGCTAATAATTCAGGGGGGCTAATAATTCTGACGTCGACTGTACCATGCACGCAGATACACATTTGTGCGAGTGGGTGTTTTTAAAGAGCCAGAATAGCACGCAGATGTCTGAGAGCAGTGTTAGCGGGGAAAATGAAAGGGGTCGGACAGGTTCACAGAGACCCGCTGAGTCTCACAGGTGGTGAAATGGAGAGGAAACTCTAATCGAGGAGACTGAAAGCTCATCAGCGCCGACGCAGAATAACACACGCATGTAATAGACACGTCGGCACACCAATAGAGACAAAGACAAACTAATAAATCTGACTCTCGATTTCACGGAGGAACAAATACACACACAGGGAATTTATTCGGTCCAGCGATGGCAGACTAACATGCTGGAGAGCTGAAACACTAGCTTATTCTCACAGAAAAATCAAGCACGGGGGGGGAAACAAAGAAAAGGAGGGCAGAGGAATAAAAGGAGGGAGATTGGAGGAGATGAGGGGCCAGGAGAATTTTGTGATAGAGCTGTCAGCTTTGATGCGTTTCACACTGGGGACAATCTCAGCTCGATCCCCAGGTAATAAAATACACACAGAGATTGATACAGGTGCACATGCACACACACACACACACACACACACACACACACATATATATATATATATATATATATATATATATATATATATATATATATATATATATATATATATATATATATATATATATATATATATATATATATATGGATATAGCTACAGAAAGAAAAGCCAGTCCATAGGTATTATTTTATTT